AGAAGGGTTTAAAAGCTAGAAGAACAAGAGTTTAAAAGCTAGAAGAACAAGAGTTTAAAAGCTAGAAGAAGAAGGGTTTAAAAGCTAGAAGTACAAGGGTTTAAAAGCTAGAAGTACAAGAGTTTAAAAGCTAGAAGAACAAGAGTTTAAAAGCTAGAAGAACAAGGGTTTAAAAGCTAGAAGAAGAAGGGTTTAAAAGCTAGAAGAACAAGAGTTTAAAAGCTAGAAGAACAAGAGTTTAAAAGCTAGAAGAACAAGAGTTTAAAAGCTAGAAGAAGAAGGGTTTAAAAGCTAGAAGTACAAGAGTTTAAAAGCTAGAAGAACAAGAGTTTAAAAGCTAGAAGAACAAGGGTTTAAAAGCTAGAAGTACAAGAGTTTAAAAGCTAGAAGAAGAAGGGTTTAAAAGCTAGAAGAACAAGGGTTTAAAAGCTAGAAGTACAAGAGTTTAAAAGCTAGAAGAAGGGTTTAAAAGCTAGAAGTACAAGGGTTTAAAAGCTAGAAGAACAAGAGTTTAAAAGCTAGAAGAACAAGGGTTTAAAAGCTAGAAGAACAAGAGTTTAAAAGTTAGAAGGACAAGAGTTTAAAAGCTAGAAGTACAAGGGTTTAAAAGCTAAAATCCAGAGCAGAGTAGATTCTCACCCCCATAATGTATCAAATTCGTCTTTCTATCTTCTGAAGGTATCGTTTTCATTCATTAACTTCTAGCTAGTACAAAGGGTCACAATAATAGTTAGTAAACTATTGTTAATATTGGGTTGTCCAGTTATGAATGCGCGTTTTTTACTATTTTGTAAATTTCTCAAGATTTCGAACAGATGTATATGAGTGTTATATGTCATTCGAAAGCTGAAGATCTCCTCTACATTTTGGAATAAAAAACTTTTTGAATTCATTCAACTTTTTGAGAAATTTATTGCACAAAGGGAGAGGTCGTTTTCGAAAAAACCCATTTCAGCTTAGCTATTCCTCAAGTTTTATGGTGTAAAATAACCGCCCAGAAAAGAAAAGTAAAGTAAAGATGCTCTGAAATTGTTATATTTTAAAAAAGTTGTATTGATATATCTATTGGCCAAACATCAAACGGTTAACTCAATTTGAGCGGAGCCAAAACTTGATCTAAAGGCACCTCGGCTGGCTCTGAGTCCTGAGAGCTGGCTCTGAGTCCAGAGAGCTGGCTCTGAGTCCCAAGAGCTGGCTCTGAGTCCTGAGAGCTGGCTCTGAGTACAGAGAGCTGGCGCTGAGTCCTGAGAGCTGGCTCTGAGTCCCAAGAGCTGGCTCTGAGTCCTGAGAGCTGGCTCTGAGTCCCGAGAGCCAAAACTTGATCCATTTTTTGTCCACCTCTTCTTCTGTGCAGTCAATTTGCCCAAAAGGTGAACAAATTCAAAAACTTTTTAGATCAAAATGTAGAGGAGATCTTCAGCTTTCGAATAATACTCATATATATCTTTTTCTTGATTTTGGTATCTTGAGAAATTTACAAAATAGTAAAAAACGCGCATTCATAACTGGACAACCCAATATTAACAATAGTTTACTAACTATTATTGTGACCCTTTGTACTAGCTATTAACAATAGTTTGCTAACTTTCAGGTGTCCGAAAAGTAGATTGAAATGATTTTTGATAGCGTTGCGCATTGTGTAATCTGTCTGTAATCTGTAGACTCCATTTGTCTTCAAAAAGTTGAAGATTTTCTGAATCAAAACCACGTCAATTTATTTTTTGCTTTGTCTTAAAATTTGAAAAATTTTCTAAAAGACAAAGAGGAAGTTGACATTTCATTTTTATTTCATTTTCAGTGTCATTTTTTTTGCAAACAAACACACTCGTTGTTTCTCTTTTGTTTGAAACAATGAATCGCTTTTTGGAATGAGTGAATTTTTGGACGATTTCGACGAAATTTGCGCATCTGCAGGGCTATTGTTTTGGCAATTCGGCGAACATTTCCTTTTGGATCGAGGAAATTGGAAATTTAGCAAGGAATTGAGGGATTGATGATATAAAATAAGAAGTTTAAGCAACAGTTAAGCAACAGTTCACTTCTTCAAGGGGAGAACTTCTTCAAGGCTCTATTGATAGTCGACTGGCTGCATTTGAGCTGCATGAAAGTTTGAGTTTAGGCTGGCTGCATGAAAGTTTGAGAATAGGTTGAGGGCATTTTGCCCCCAATTCCTCTAATCATTCGCTTTACCGAATATAACTGATACAAAGTTCTGCTATCCTGAGGGAAACTTCTGAGGGAACCAGCTACTAGATGGTTCGATTAGTCTTTCGACCCTATAGACGATCGATTTGCAGTCAGATCAATCAGACGATCGATTTGCAGTCAGATCAATGAGACGATCGATTTGCAGTCAGATCAATCAGACGATCGATTTGCAGTCGATCAATCGGACGATCGATTTGCAGTCAGATCAATGGACGATCGATTTGCGGTCAGATCAACAGACGACGATTTGCGTCAGATCAACAGACGATCGATTTGCAGTCGGATCAATCAGACGATCGATTTGCAGTCGATCAAGAGACGATCGATTGCAGTCAGATCAACAGACGATCGATTTGCAGTCAGATCAACGACGATCGATTTGCAGTCAGATCAACAGACGATCGATTTGCGCGATCAATGAGACGATCGATTTGCAGTCAGATCAATCAGACGATCGATTTGCAGTCAGATCAATCAGACGATCGATTTGCAGTCAGATCAATCAGACGATCGATTTGCAGTCAGATCAATCAGACGATCGATTTGCAGTCAGATCAATCAGACGATCGATTTGCACGTCAGAATCGTTACGGATCTCCACCGGAGTTTCCTCCGGCTTCGTCCTGCTCACGTATAGTTCGCCATCCTTGTCCTTGCGTATACGCTCTACCTCCGCCCCATGGTAAGCCATCGACGGCTATGGTGCGATGCACAGTGAGTGCACCTATCCCATATCAACCAATCGAAAGCCGGTCTTTACTTTCATTGCGCCTTTAGGTTTTCCACCGAATGACTCGCGCATACGCAAGACTCCTTGATCCGTGTTTCAAAACGGATCGGATAGGTGATCGACTTGCACACCGAATCACGCTAGTCGCGACACGTCTCCCCGACACACAAGCCACCACATAAGTGGGCAACAAGTGCCGGTTCGACGCGCACAATCAACGCACTCAGCGCATACAGACAAAAAGTGCACCGGGCCCGAAGGATCGTTTGAATGTTGCCTCGTTACGTCATTGCGATCATTGCGCCTTTAGGTTTTCCACCCAATGACTCAGCCTTTAGCTAGATGCGACCGTTTAGCTGCTCGGCGTGGTGAGAGTCCGTCTTTGTTATAGGGCAGCTTTTTCCATTGCTTTCCATAGGGCAGCTTTTTTGCGTGTCATCTTTCCGTTGGAGCCACCGGATCCTGCCTGACGAACTGCAGGCAAATTGAGGGAAACGGTTGAGGATGAGAATGAGAATGAGAGCACAATTGCTTTGCGCACTCCTTCGGCTTGAAAAATGGCACACGGTGTAGAGTTGTATCGCATTCTCAACCGTTTCGACCTCAATTCGCCTGCAGTTCGTCAGGCAGGATTCTCCATCGTCAGGAGGAGGTGGCTCCAACGGAAAGATGACACGCAAAAAAAGCTGCCCTAAGGAAAGCAATTTCCCGCGTTGATGTTCGCAGAGTAGAAGGCTGTAAACTCTGAATCTCAACGTCTCTTAAATTGCTAATATCTGCTTAAATCGGTGTCTGCTTAAATTGCTAATATCTCAGCGTAGAAACTAGAATATTTGGATGAAATTTGTTTGATTAGATAGCCAAGAAGTACCAGTTTGACACGATTTGAATCAGCTCAAATCCAGCTCAAATCCATCACAAATCCATCACAAATCCATCACAAATCCATCACAAATCCATCACAAATCCAGCTCAAATCCATCACAAATAAGTACATTTATTGGTGCACCCGTAAATTTCAAAGTCTAAACAGACAATTAAAGCACTACGGATTCTCTGAGCGATAAGAATTGCATAAATGATATGAGAAAAGCGTTTAGCTATGTATTGAGGGTTATTTTTGAAGAAAAAGAGATCGAAATGTTCGGAAGAAAAAAAGAAATCGATAGTAAAGGAAATTTCGATGCAAAGATACCGGAATTTTGTTTGATTTCAGACAAAGCGCTATTCAGCGCTAAGGTATTTACTTTAGAAAACTACCGTAAGCTACCGTAAGCCTGCTATTTTATTGTTTTTATTGGTTAAAGTTGAGAGTTTTTCAAGTTTTTATCGGTTTTTTATTGGTTTATCCGCTTTTTTGAAATTTTCTTTTCATAAATTAGGGAAAACTTACAATAGTTTCCCCAAAATAGTTGCCTTTTAGAAGAAAAAAATTAGAATTAAGTTTATAAAAGAAACATTAGTCGATAATTGCTGAGTAAACTTCTTAGAGTAATCTTACGGTAGTTTAGAGTGGTCTATAGTAGTCTAGAGTAGGCTTACGGTAGTTTAGAGTGGTCTATGGTAGTCTAGAGTAGTCTTACGGTAGTTTAGAGTGATCTACGGTAGTTTAGAGTGATCTATGGTAGTCCAGAGTAGGCTTACGGTAGTTTAGAGTAGGCTTACGGTAGTTTAGAGTGGTCTATGGTAGTCTAGAGTAGTCTTACGGTAGTTTAGAGTGATCTATGGTAGTCCAGAGTAGGCTTACGGTAGTTTAGAGTAGTCTTACGGTAGTTTAGAGTGGTCTATGGTAGTCTAGAGTAGTCTTATGGTAGTCTAGAGTAGGCTTACGGTAGTTTAGAGTAGGCTTACGGTAGTTTAGAGTAGGCTTACGGTAGTTTAGAGTAGTCTTACGGTAGTTTAGGGCAACCTTACGGTAATTTAGGGCAATCTTACGGCAAACTTACGGTAGTTCCCCAAAATCACTGCCTTTTAGAAAAGAAAATGTGAATTAAGCACAGTACTCAGTCCACAAAACAAAAAAAAAAGCGTGATAGAAGCTTTCAAAAGGAAGATTTCCTCAGTGACCAGTCGCCGGATTCTTTGCGATTTTTAATTTATAGGTGAGAAAATAATAAGCGTACATCTCTTGCGGTTTCACGTAGTGAGTCGTGATCATACCGGGAGAACAGCAAGAGTCACCCTGGAAACGATTTTGTTTTAAGGATGAAATTGATTAGAAATAGATTTTTGAAGCTATAAATCTATTCCAAAGCTATAAATCTATAATTCGAAGCTTTAATTAGCATTTTTGTCTATTTTTATGTGCCTATTGCAACCGCAAGAACCGTTTTTATTTTCTGACCTTATCAAGAGGAATGATTGATGTCTCTTGTGCCCATTGCAGGTTGGGCCCGTTCACAAATGGGGTCAACAAATCGGCAATGTCAATTGGAAGCATACTGTAAACGAATTGCATTGATCTACATTGAATTGCTGTAGCTCTGAGCGCTTTTTAAGGCACGATCATAACATTTGGATCGCCTAGTGCACTCATTTCTTCACTAGCGCACTCATTTCTTCACTTTCCTTTCCAAAATCATTGCTGCAAGTCAAAAATGAAGAATTGAGTGCTCTAGAAAAGATTTGTTTGCACGATTTTACCCAAGGAACATCGAGAAGTGCTTTTTTTTGCTTTCACCTGTGCCGATTCGACCCATCGACCGCGTCAACGAAAGTGACGTTCGCATTTCGAAGGCATTCGCCGATCTATAAAGAAATCACTATAAAATAATATAAAATGTCATTACAGATGTTTAGAGATGTTTAGAGATGTCTAGAATTTCCTCAACTTCTCAACATTTGAAAGACTGAGACATTTAAAACGTAAACCTCAGTGTCCTCATGCTTATAGCTCGTCGTTCGACACTCTGTCGCGTTTGGCATGATGCTGATGAATCTAAAATGAAAAGAGTTATCAATAGAAATGATTTATTGTACTTAAAGCTCTAAGTAGTCCTCTTAACTATAGTTTTTTTCTAAAAATACTACAATATTTTGATCACAGTACTGCTTGTTAAAAGAGAAAGAAAGATCATCTAAGAAAGAACCTACAGTACTCTCTAGACCCAGGCCAACGAATAGCTCAGCCTTGTTTTTGTTAATTGTTCTAATCTAGGTAATCAATGAACACAGCCTTTAGCTTTTGAGAACAGAATATTGCCCGTAGTTCAGGTTTTGTACAATAGTACAGAGTGGCCGCGAATTCTAGCGACAACTTTTTGGAAAAGTAGCTGGGAAATCTCTAATTTATTTCAAAAGTGTCCAGTGTTGTATAGAGAATTGTAGCCCTGAATCTTGGCTACATTTATCTACTAAAAACTTTCCGATTCGACTTATAAAACTTATTTAACAAGCGCTTGAATGAGCGCTAGTCGACATCTCTCCAGCGATCTGCCATCGAAACTTAATCGTCGCTGCAAGAAAAATGAGGAATTGAGTGCTCTAGAAAGATGTGTTTAAACAAAAAAGCCGTGTTTAAACGCCATTTTTGTATTAAAGAAATAATGAAAAGCTTTTCTTAACAATTTTTAAAGAGAAAAGCGACCAAATGAAAGATTTGCCGGAGAGATATCGACTAGCGCTCCTTTAAGCGCTTGTTAAATGTGTTGTATAAGTCGAATCGGAAAGTTTTTGGTAGATAAATGTAGCCAAGATTCAGGGCTACAATTCTCTACCTAACACTTGACACTTTCGAAATAAATTAGAGATTTCCCAGCTACTTTTCCAAAAAGTTCGCGGTTACCCTGTACTCACAGCTGAGTCCGGTAAAAGCAACGAGTTAAACATTCAAACTGGTACATATTGCTTAATATTAGACTTTCATTTAGTAATATCAGTACAATAACGTGCTGCTGAAGAAAAACGAAAAGCTCAGTGCACCAGAAAGAAGCGTTTAAGCACTAAGTACAATGTTCAATCATTTTCTCACCTCTTCACAGCCTCTCTTGAAAGAATATAGCCGGCACCACCGCTACCGTAAATCTAAATTGTTAAATATCTAATTAGTTTCAAGATTAAACCCTCACCTGATTCGGATCTCTTCCCTTTTCCAATAGCCAATGCCTTGAGATCACAAAATATGGATGATTTGGGTCCAACTTTGCCAAGAATTCCTTCATATTCTCCATGATGGCGAAAGTGTCGTCATCAGCTTTGAAAAACCAATCAAAGTCACCCTGAAATTGTTTAGATATTGAATATTGAATGTAAATGCAAATCGAGATGCCATCATTCAAGAAACCGTACTAATAATGAATAGATCTTTCTATTATACTCACCAATTTCTCCTGGTGAACTTTCTTGAACGCAGCTCGCAAACGATCCCATAACCACTCGCGGCTGTCGTTTGGGATCGACTTGTTGGCTGGTGAGCTGGAACTTTTAGCTAACTAGATTAGATCTATTTAGTTTAGGCACAGCTATGGGATAAACCAGAGCCTGAGCCTAAGCCTAAGCCTGAACCTAAGCCTAAGCCTAAGCCTGAGCCTGAGCCCAATCCGAAAATTGGCTGAGATCCAGGACATGGGGGTTTAGCCCAAACCCAAATAGAGTCAATCTAGAGTTGTAGAGGAGAAGGCAGCTCCTAGCCAACTACAGGTCCACTAGGAACTTGTAGAGGCCAGGGTGAGCCTGAGTCTAAGCCTAAGCCTAAGCCTAAGTCCAAGCCTGAGCTAGGCCTAAGCCTAAGCCTAAGCCTAAACCTTAGCCAAGCCTAAGCCTTAGCCTAAGCCTAAAGCCTAAGCCTAAGCCTAAGCCTAAGCTAAGCCTAAGCCTAAGCCTAAGCCTAAGCCTGAGCCTAAGCCTAAGCCTAAGCCTAAGCCTAAGCCTAAGCCTAAACCTAAACCTAAGCTAAGCCTAAGCCTGAGCCTAAACCTGAGCTAGTACCTAGACCTAGTAAGAGTCCAGATCCGGCCAGGCAAAGCAAAATCTGACTTAAAACATTGGTCGTGGTACACGATTTGTACCACGACTCGCTTTCTCGCTACTGTCTTGGCCAAAAATTCTGATTTTCACACAATGCAATCCGAATCCATCTTCATTTTTGCAAATTCTAAACAGAGCCTCCTGCGTTTGAGTACCATCAAAGGACCTACAGTAATCCAGCCCTGAATCCGGACCTACAGTAATCCAGCTCTGAATCTCAATTTACAGTAATCCAGCTCTTTATCTAAAGCTACAGTAGCGAAATTACAGTTTGGTAATGGTTCAGAAGATGAGTTTTGCTTTTGTTGTTTGGCTTGAATGCAATAGAAAGGTGTTCTTGTATTTCTTGTGGTCAACGTGTTAAAACGATTTCTGATCTAGCTTGACTTGACCTTGCCATTATTGGAGCTTTACAGATGGTATAGGCTTTGCCTGGTCTGCTTGCTTTCTTTGTCTTGGCTGACTTGCTGCTTTCTTTCTTTCTTTCTTTCTCTTGCCTGGCTTACAACTGCTGCCAAAAAGCTTCTACAAAACCAACCTAAAATCGAAAACCCAAAACGGGGGCACTTTCTCTTTGGGATCTTTCCTCTCAGCGCGGGTCTTCTTCTTAGTTGTCGGCGGTGGTGGAGCTGTTGTAGTGAAAACGTGCTGATCGCAGTGATTTGCCCAAGTATCCTGGAAAGTCAAAGTACGGTATTGAGTAAGGAAACTGGGTCAATTCTACAAATATATAACTCACTTGTACAGCCACCACACGGGTGTTGTGATTTTTCGGTATCGTATTGATCATGCAGAACACTTTGGGCCACGGTGGGGCTTCGACGACAGAGGCTAAAGCAGAATGTTCAGTTTATTACTTACAGTACTTTCTAGAAGCTGAATTCAGGAAAGGTACAGTAACCCAGCTCTGAATCTGAACCTACAGTAATCCAGCCCTGAATCCGGACCTACAGTAATCCAGCCTGAATCTGAGCCTACAGTAATCCAGCTCTGAATCTGAACCTACAGTAACTCAGCTCTGAATCTGAACCTACAGTAACCCAGCTCTGAATCTGAACCTACATAACCCAGCCTGAACTAAACCTACAGTAACTCAGCCTGAACTGAACCTACAGTAATCAGCCTGAACTGAACCTACAGTAATCAGCTCTGAACTAAACCTACAGTAATCCAGCCTGATCTAACCTACAGTAACTCAGCTCTGAACTAACCTACAGTACCAGCTCTGACAAACCTACAGTAACTCAGCTCTGAATCTGAACCTACAGTAATCCAGCTCTGAATCTGAACCTACAGTAATCCAGCTCTGAATCTAAACCTACAGTAATCCAGCTCTGAATCTGAACCACAGTAACCCAGCTCTGAATCTGAACCTACAGTAACCAGCTCTGAATCTGAACCACAAATCCAGCTCTAACTGACCTACAGTAACTCAGCCTGATCTACCTACAGTAACTCAGCTCTGAATCTGAACCTACAGTAATCCAGCTCTGAATCTAAACCTACAGTAATCCAGCTCTGAATCTGAACCTACAGTAATCCAGCTCTGAATCTGAACCTACAGTAATCCAGCTCTGAATCTGAACCTACAGTAATCCAGCTCTGAATCTGAACCTACAGTAACTCAGCTCTGAATCTGAACCTACGGTAACCCAGCTCTGAACCTAAACCTACAGTAATCCAGCTCTTTATCTGAGCCTACAGTAGTCCAGATCTTTATCTAAAGCTACAGTAATCCCTCGCCGAAATGTCATTTTTTAAAGTCGAAGCTGGCAAGTTTACGACTAGTTCTGGTTGGTTCACTATCACAATCCTGTTGTTTTAGTGAAAGCAACATTTATCTAAGCCTTTCACTGGATAAAAAGGCATGGTATGGTATGGTAATATGGTATGGTAACTTATCTCTTGGTAACTAATATAGTATGGTAACTTATCTAGATATGGTAACTTATCTCTTGGACTTTTAGAAGGCTTTAGAAGAAGCTTTAGCTTTAGAAGAAGCTTTAGCTTTAGAAGAAGATTTGTTTAAACAAGAATTTGTTAGATCTTTTTAATTTTATTCAATCCATACCCGATTCGAGATTCCTCCCGGCCGCAATCCCTTTATTATATTCTGTTTGCATGCGTCTCGTCTCAGACAACGATGTGCCGCGAAGTGGTGAAAGAAATGAGAAAACGACAACGAATCCGAGAATCGAAAGAAGCAAGCCTTCAACATAACGCCTGAATTTTGAAAAAAGATGCAAATAGCAAGATTTATTCTACAAGAAATCTAATTGTTATTTTAGATTTTAGATTTTAAATATTTGGCACTACAGGGTGGCCCACAAATATAGCGCCGCACTTCGGAGGGCCTAGATTAGCCAAAATTGCGTCAATCGTTCTGATTTTTCTGGAGATAAATCTTAAGAATGTCTCCTTTAATCCTGCCCATTATCTAATCGATTCAAGCTTTCAACTTTTTTATATACCCTTCCAAAGTTGAGAGCTCGACACGCCTCCAAAGTCGAGAGTGTCGCTCAATCATTTATGGATCGCTACCCACTGGATCTCTGAGTCTCGAGAGCTGGCGCATATCCGTACTTCTTAGGTCTTGGTCGAGCTGTTCCGATTGTGCTTGGGGAGGTTCCTTTCAAGAGCTCGATATGTCGTTCTCAGGGCTCGTTCGGTGGTCTGTGTCGTGGCCCAGGTCTGGGTCCAAGTCTCTGTCCCGTAGCAGAGTGACGGGAGGACGATGCCGTTGATGAGGTGTGCCCGAGTCCTCTTTGGTGACATTTCTCAAGAATTTTAGCACTTAAACTGCTTAGAGCATTTGAAATTTCGTTCATCAACATAATAAATTCAATCTCAACGTGATTTTGACAAGATAGCTCTCAAAAAATTCCATAAATGAGTAGCGTGCCGAGCGACACTCTCAACCTTGGAGGCGTGCCGAGCTCTCAACTTTGGAAGGTCATATAAAAAAGTTGAAAGCTTGAATCGATTAGATAATGGGCAACGTTAAAGAAGACATACTTAAGATTTATCTCCAGAAAAATCAGAACAATTGACCCGATTTTGGCTAATCTAGGCTCTCTGAAGTGCGGCGCTATACTTGTGAGTCATCCAGTAATTTGATCAAAAATTGAGGCGTGCCGAGCTCTCAACTTTGGAAGGTCATATAAAAAAATTGAAAAGTTGAATTGATTAGAAAATGGGCACTTTTTCAGGAGGCATATTGAAGAGTTAACTCCAGAAAAATCAAAACGATTGACCAAATTTTGATCGATCTAGGCCCTCTGGAGTGCGGCGCACCACCCAGAAGGCACGCACCTAGCGTACGGCTCTTTTTAAGGATCCGTGTCTTTTGAGGCTTAAAAATACCCGAGTTTTGAGCTTTTGTAATATTTTCAAGGCTTGCAATTTCAAGAGTCTCATCCTTGCTTTAGATCTAGATTCAGCTAAGCCCAGGGCAGCTCCAGCCTTTGTCCGGGTCTAGAGGTCTAGTCAGTCTAGAGCCAGCAAGATTCAGTTCAAAGCTTGAATCGATTAGATAATGGGCAGGATTAAAGGAGACATTCTTAAGATTTATCTCCAGAAAAATCAAAACGATTGACCCAATCAGACCGAAAAATCAGAACGATTGACCCAAAGTCTAGACTAGGACCTTAAGACTAGTACTGCAATGACTTTTTGATTCAAAAATCATTTGCAAAATCATCTTATTGATCTAGATAGATTAGCTACTAGAGCTATGTTTTTAAATTATTCAATTTAAAATTCAACTCTCACCTCAATCGTCCCCCGACTGGCATCGTTTGCTCATTGGCGGGCACCGGCGAATAACGACGATTGGGCGACGTTTTCTTCAAAGAAAACTTGAATAGCTTTTCTCAATTATTAGAAAATTGTTAAGGCGATTAAATATTGAGTTGAATGAAAGAAAGGAAAAAATCGATGACAGTAAATCGGAGGAAAGAATATGATATACGGAAAGGGTGGGGGGTGACACACAAACATTCCCTCAAAAGTTTACTTTACGACGCAGCTGATAAGAATAGCTAAAACAAGCTGGAATAGCTAAGAAAACCCAAATTCAGCCGTATTTTCTTGTTTTCTTTTCTTAAAAGATTTCAACTTTTAAAAGCTATCTGCCTTTCCTGATCATTATGCTTTAAAAAGTCGGGGAAATCTTTAAAAATATGGTACTTATTAAGCTGTTGTGTTTGGGAAACTGGAAATTCTACAAATTTTCTCAATTAAAAGATGGTTAGACTGTTTTCCGAACTCAGCTTACGGTAGCTAGCACAACTCAGCTTACGGTAACTAGCACAACTCAGCTTACAGTAGCTAGCACAACTCAGCTTACGGTAGCTAGCACAACTCAGCTTACAGTAGCTAGCACAACTCAGCTTACGGTAGCTAGCACAACTCAGCTTACGGTAACTAGCACAACTCAGCTTACAGTAGCTAGCACAACTCAGCTTACGGTAGCTAGCACAACTCAGCTTACAGTAGCTAGCACAACTCAGCTTACGGTAGCTAGCACAACTCAGCTTACGGTAACTAGCACAACTCAGCTTACAGTAGCTAGCACAACTCAGCTTACGGTAGCTAGCACAACTCAGCTTACAGTAGCTAGCACAACTCAGCTTGCGGTAACTAGCACAACTCAGCTTACAGTAGCTAGCACAACTCAGCTTACAGTAGCTAGCACAGCTCAGCTTACGGTAGCTAGCACAACTCCGCTTACTCAGCAAAAATTCGCAAAAAAAACCGCAAGGGGGATCGAACCCGTGGGCAAGAGAGGACGTTGGTTTCATAACCCAAATCACTATCCACCACACCATCTGTCTCCTCTTCTAAGAAGGCGAGAAACCTTTTTTAACCTCTAAGCTCTGTTTTCTGTGTTTCTGTTTCCGTTTCTGTTTCCGAGCAGCATCCAGTTTTTGCTGATGCTTTGAAGTTTGGACACTTTTTGGAAAAACGGCATGGGTATGGGGCCGAATTATTTTGGCCCGACAGATAACCTAGTGGTGTAGTGGGTAGCGGGCTCGCTTCTGGCGCTGTTCGACGCCCTTCGCGTCCCTGGTTCGAATCCCTTCACTGTCAAGGCTTTTTTGCTCTTTTGTGAAAACACTAAAATCAATTCTTAGGTGTTTTAGTATCTATAAGCATAGTGTCTATAGAAAGTATTAGCAAGTAAGAAGCTAAAAGATGCTAAATAGATGCTAAGTTCGAGCAGTAGTCAGATTTAAATCAGTCTAGTCAGATTTTTCAGCTTCAGATTTAATATTTCTGTACAGCTACTTTTCAATTAGCTACATCATTTTCTGACCTGGGTAACTTGGATCACTGTACATCTACTTACTGGGTTGGTTACGGTAGCCCGGGCATGTTTTAGAGTGCTACCGGAGTTGGAAAAAAGTTCACGGTAAGGTGAGTCTTGTCGGCTGAATACTTGTATTGGGTTTGGGTTATTAAAGGAGGCATATTGTAGCTATAAAAGAGGCATACTGTAGCTACAAAGCCATTCTAGAAAGCCTTAAAAAAGCTCCGTGTCCAGCAGCGACCAGTTTAGTCACAGATAGTGTAAGTTGTGCCATTCAATGACTTTAAAGACTTTAGGCTTTTCGTCTCTAGTGCATAGAGTTTTATATATTAGGGACGCATTTGCGCCATCTGCTGACGCTGAAGCTATAGGCTAGGAAAATAGCAGGAAATTACGAGGCTTCTGGGTCACAGAGCTTTCTGTGGCTCTCTAAAGTCATTGAATGGCGCAACTTAAACTTTTCTGTGGCTAAGCTGGTGGCTAAACACGGCGACTATCCAAAAAGATGGCTTTAGGTGGCTTTTTTTGGATAGTTTTTCAACTCGTGTAGTTAGTTGGTGTGTTGCTTATGAGACTTTCGATCAGTTAATGGGCTGGGTTCGACTCTGGCTAGAGTTCTGCTGTAGCAACTTGTAAACGCACCCTTTCTGGCGCACGTGAGTCTTTATTTTTCGAAAAGAAACGCATTGTTTTCACAAGAAAAATGGGGAAAAATGGGGAAAATGCGAAGAATCCAGTGCGCCAAAACGCGTGCGTTTACAAGCGAGGAAAAAGGTGAAATGATTGCACAAATCAATAAAAATTAAAGCTACAAAAGCTCTAAAACAGTTCAAATTTTTCAAAATCTATTTGAATAAACAAAAATGAACTTTTCTTTTAAAAAAAGGTTACTCAAATTTCAAATTTCCCCATTTTGAGTAAACAAAATGAGAAAATGAAGGAAAGAAAGAAGCCAAAAGAAGTACACGAAAATTTTGACGCCAAAAATCACAAGCCACAGAAAAGCGCAACAAAAAAATGAAAGCTATTTTCTTTCCGAATCTTTTTGCCAAAAGAAAATTGACTAACTTGGTACAAAAGCTTTTTTTTTTGTTTGATTTATCGTTGGAGAAAAAGGTTGTCAGTAATTAGTTGGTGTTTGTTGAGAAATCGGATTTTGCAGATTTTGGTTTGGAGAAAAAGAAAGCAGAAAAATCATTGACTGAAGAAATTGATGCAGATGTAATTTGTGCTGAAAATCTCACAAACACACCCTTTCTGGTGCACTGAATTCTTGATTTCTTTGATTCTTTGATTCTTCGAATCTTTCTTTGAACGACAAGTCGTTTCTGCAAGAAAATTCAAGAATCGACGCCAGAAAGGTTGCATTTAAAAATTCAAGCAAAAGAAAGCAAAAATTCTTTGTGCGATCGCTCGTAATCGTGCGCACGTAATCGCTCTCCATCTGGCACACGCTTCCGATAGATACGTTTTCCCTTTTGAGAACGAATCATTTCAAACACTTATAAAGGTGAAAAATGATCTATTAGGTTGGTAAAAAAAGAAATGAGCGTCGTGTTTGTTGATTTGTATTTTATTCACAGTAAAAGATTTTTTAAAATAGTTTATTCTATTGGAAAGAGCGTGTTCTTGTGCATCGTTTAATATATAATTTGTCTATGTTTACTTTGTTTTTTTACAAGAAAGAGTATTTAGAAAATGTCGGACCAAAAATTTAGCCCAGCAGAAAATTGAAGAAATGGGCTGGGAAGTCCTGCCTCATCCGCCATACAGCCCAGACTTGGCGCCTTCCGACTACCATCTGTTCCGTTGGACCCCGGTGAAGCTCCAAAACCGACTCCAAAACCGGACATCTACGGAAAAAAGGTGATGCTTTGTGTTTGGTGGAACAGTAAAGGCCTGGTGTACTTTGAGGTTCTGGATTCGCCCAGCATTGGAAAGAGCGTGTTCTTGCGCATCGTTTAATATATAATTTGTCTATGTTTACTTTGTTTTTTTACAAGAAAGAGTGTTTAGAAAATGTCGGACCAAAAATTTGGGCTGGTAGTCCTGCCTCATCCGCCATACAGCCCAGACTTGGCGCCTTCCGATTACCATCTGTTCCGTTGGACCCCGGTGAAGCTCCAAAACCGACTCCAAAACCGGACATCTACGGAAAAAAGGTGATGCTTTGTGTTTGGTGGAACAGTAAAGGCCTGGTGTACTTTGAGGTTCTGGATTCGCCCAGCATTGGAAAGAGCGTGTTCTTGCGCATCGTTTAATATATAATTTGTCTATGTTTACTTTGTTTTTTACAAGAAAGAGTATTTAGAAAATGTCGGACCAAAAATTTCGCTTGCGGGCCTGCTTGTGGTATGAATTTAAGCAAGGCAAATCGGCTGCTGAAGCTCATCGCGCTCTATCTCAAGTGTTTGACGAAGATGCTCTATTTGAAAGTCAGTGTAAACGATGGTTCCAGCGCTTCCGAGACGGCGACGAAAGCTTGGAAGACCAAAAACACGGGAGTCGACCTCAAATCATCGACAACGACGCATTGAAGGAAACCATTGAGTCGGATCCACGCCAAACCACTCGCGACCTGGCAGAACAGTTCGGCTGCACTCATGTCACCATTGAGAACCATCTGCATGGCATGGGCAAGACGAATAGATGCGGAAAATGGGTACCGCATAAGCTATCCGACGCAAACAAGGCGACACGCATCGCAATCGCCGGAATTCTCACTCACCGCGCCAAGGACAGCGAGTTTTTCGACTCCTTTTCTTTAGGTACTTTAAATGTTAGAATAAGAGAAATAAGAAGATATTCAGACTTTTTGCATCGAATTACTTTTCTCCGAGAAATGACCGGATTTCACTGTCACTGAAAGTTCTTTTCAGCCATTTCCAGAAGCCCTATTTAGCTTCTTACCGTTTATAGACACTTTAAAAATACCTAAGAATTGGTTTAGTGAGAATTTTAGTGTTTTAAAAAGAAAGGAAAAAGGTTTTGACAGTGAGGGGATTCGAACCAGAGAGGCAAACAAAAGGGCGAACAGCGCGAGGGGCCAGCACACTATCAGGCTTTTAGATCAGGCTAGATAAGCTTTTAAGGGAGGCTAAATCAATTTCTAGATAATATAACAGATTTAAAACTTCTAAAACTAAAAGAAATGATGACGAACAGTTGGCTGAAAACAAAAGTCCGGGCCGGGGTTCGAACCCGCGATCTCTCGCTTACCAGGCGAGCGCTCTGCCAATGCGCTACACGGAGACGTGTCGCCGTCGCCAGAGAAGGGCTTTATGCCTTACTACTGCACAAAACTGGGCAAGAAGAACTAGACCTAGCTGGGTTTATCGGAAACCTAGTGTACTTTTTACGTTGCTCACCGATTGCCTCCATGGCCGAATGGCTAAGAGCCTTGTATCTTAGTCGAGAGGTCAAGGGTTCAATCCCGCCAGCTAGATTATTGCTTCTTATATATGGGTTTTTTTCTACATTTAG